GAATGCTTTATGTGACTGAGCTGGATTCTGGGGAGTTCATCTCTGCACTTCCTTGCTGTGCATTGCTGGCACCAAAAAAAGAGCCAGGAGCTCTGCATGTTCTTGCTGTCTTCAAAGTGCAGGATTTGGGAAGAGGTTTCTGCAAGGAGATGAAAGGAAAAGACCTAGGAGCAAATTGTCAGTGTTTTTAATGTATTGTTTATAGCTTTGGTGTTAAGAGTGGTGGTGTTAAGCGTTCTAGCTTTTAAATAAAAAAATCCAACATTCAGAGGTGGTGAAGAGAAGCAATATGAGAGCTCCACTGTTTTATTTCCCCCTTTTTTTTCCCATTTTGCCCCTATTACATAGTCTAGATCTGCTTGTCTCACAGGGAAAGGTGCCTAAAGCCTCTCCTCTTGGCTCTGCCCTTCCTACCCATCTTGTGGAGGATGATTCTTTGCAATGGAGGGCCAGGTGTAGTCTGACCTAATCCACTGCCCATGAAAAGCTTGAATTTCCAGATTTCACATCCTGATGGGGGTTTTGTCCCCAGGGAAAAGCCTTGGGAGGTCTCAGAGCTGCCCAGGGAGTGTGTTCCTGACACAGATGGATTCCATCTCCTCCTGCTCCTGCCTTTAGCCTGGAATCATCTGGTGATGGCAAACTTTCAAGAAAAGCTGAACACTCAATCAAACCAGTTCTGGCTGCTTGTCCAGAGCTGCTGAAGGTTTGGGTTTTACTTTAATTTCTTTTTCTTTTGTTCTGGTGAGTTTGAGCTTTGGAGAAACCCCTGAACAGGTTTGTTGTTGTCACTGCTCATCTCCAGACTTGCACAGCTCCTGCTCCCTTCTTTCTGGGTGCCATAAATCTTTATTTGGGATATAAAAATGTCTGTACTGTCCCATGAGTGGCTGTTTAGGGGGGATGTAGAATTCCCACTTGTGGGGATACAGCTGCAGTTACCCAGATGGGACTTGTGCTGCTGTGGAAGGACTTCAGCTGCCTGGTGGGCTCTAAAAGCCAGATTTTGTAGCTCCTCTCATCCAACACAGCCATGACAGCAGGGTTGGAGGGGATTTTGCATGTTTGCAGCCTCCTAGAGATCTCTGGGTGTGGGTGAATTGTGCTGGTACAGAGCAACCTTGGACCTTCAGGTGGGGTCTGGCTCAAAACTGCAAAGACTGGTGAAAGTTAAACACAGATCCTCTTCTCTGGAGATGGGATGGGAGAGCTGGGATTGTTCAGCCTGGAGAAAGCTCTGGAGAGACTTAAGAGCCTCTTACAGTGCCTAAAGGAACTCCAAGAGAGCTGGAGATGGGCTTGGGACAAAGAATGGAGGAACAGGACCTGGGGAATGGCTTCCCACTGCCAGAGGACAGGGATGGATGGGATATTGGGAAGGAATTCTTGGCTGTGAGGGTGGGGAGGCCCCTGAATCCCTGGAATTGTCCAAAGCCAAATTGGATAGGGCTTGAACAGCCTGGGATCGTGGAAGGTAATCCTGCCAATTCCATAATTCCCTGATTTTGAGCTTCCCCTGCCCTTACAGCTGGAGAACCGCCAATACTGAATTTTCCTTGAGAGGACACCAGGAGGAGCTCCAGGGAGAGAAATCGGGTTACAGCCTGGGGCTGGAGGCTGTGGGTGACTGGGGTGTGCTGGAGGCCACCTCGGTACATCCTGGGCAACTGGGAGAGGGGCCTTTGTCAACAAGGGAAAAACTGCCAGAGGTGTCTGGAGAGGCAGGAGCAAGCTGCTGGAAGTACAAGCCGTGTCCTGTGCTGCCACTGAAATTTTTATTTGACCCTGTCATCTGCAGATTTTGGAGGCTGCAGTTTCAGCTTTCGGCTGCTGCTGGCTGGGGAAGGTGCTCTGAGCACCTGGGCTAGTGGAAGGTGTCTCTTCCCATGGCAGGGGTGGGACTGGATGGTCTTTGAGGTCCTTGTGATTCTGTGATCCATGGAAATCTGAACCCAGGTGTGTAACATATCCTGCAGTGCAAAATAGGAACTCGGGAGTCAAAGAGTTCTTGTGAGTGGAATTAAAATAGTCTTTTATCTCTGAGTCCTCATCCATGCTCCAAGCCCTTGATGTGTGTGAGGGGAAAATCTTCTTGAGATAACTTTATATTCCTATATATAAGGGAAAAAAATCTTCCCTGTGAGGGTGGGGAGGTCCTGGCACAAGGTGCCCAGAGCAGCTGTGGCTGCCCCTGTATCCCTGGAAGTGTCCAAGGCCAGGGCTTGGAGCAACCTGGGATAGTGGAAGGTGTCCTTAACCATGGCAGGCAATTGGACCTGTATGATCTTTACAGTCCCTTCCCACCAGAGCCATTCTGTGATTCTATGAATAAAAGTATTTTTCCTCCCTTGAGATGATTCACGGTTGGTGGCCTCTTTTTGATTAAATTTTTTTAGTGAACTTCAGCTCAAGCCAAATTTAGTTGTAGGAAGTAGTAGGAAGTTGTAGGAAATTCTGGGTCAAAGAGGGAATCCCTGCTGAAGACACAAGAAGTGAGTGGAAAGCGGTGGTGGGGGTTCATAACCCGGTACTCGGCGTGATAACGTCATTGCTTCATCGCACGTAACCATTTCCACTCAACCCTGTGCCTGCACAATCCAGCCCATTTACATGGCAGTGCCCTTTCCTTTCACGGCAAGCCCTCAGGGGGGAAAAAAGGAGGTCAACTTCTGGGCTAAAAAAGTGGATTTCTGGTAATTCTACCCTCTCCTGCTCTTCCACACTCAGTGTCGCAGCTCAGTAGATGCGCTGGTGAATATATGGGACAGTCAGAATGGGAACGTGTGTCACAGCACTGGTGTTGCCTCAGGTGGACTTGGTAACCTGAAATGTGACAGATGTACATGAGGAGAGTCACTGGGCTCAGAGCTGCCGGTTGAACCAGACCACAGAGTCATGACAACATCCTGCAGTGATGTAAAGCATCAGTCGATGGAGATTTCTGCTGCTGTGATTCAGGAGAGGTGACAGAGCAGGGACCATTAGTCCCTCCTCGTTGGAAAGTTCAATGAATTTGTAAGAGGTTTCTGATCTTTTTTTTTGTAGGACTGAAAATATCATGAATCTGTTGATTTCCTGGGTGACTGAAGATGAATTTGTGTGAAGTCCTTTCCTTCCAGCTTGGCTACATAGCTTTGGGAAAGGTTTCTCTCAGGGCTTTTCTCCACAAATAAACTCCATAAAGTTGTTACGTAAAGGTTTTTTCTGCCATAAAAATAGCTTTTACTCCCAAAGAGACCCCCTGGTGCTCCAGGGAAGCCCCACTTTCTGCTTTTCAGTTGGTGGCTGCTCCTTTCTGGATCACAGGATGCAGAATCCTGTTTCCACTTCTATTTTCATGCCTCCCTCTCCTATTAATTATTAAGTGAAGATTGTGTGATGGAGAGGGATTAAATCTTCCATGAGCACAAAGGAACAGGACCAGGTGGAGGAATTCAAGCTTCTGACCCAGCTCTTTCAGGGCTGTTCAAGGACAATGATCAACCTTAGTCCCACCCTATCCCATGTGAGTCCCACCAGACAAGTCAGGAGAGGCTTTCCTCACACCACCTTGCTGGCTACAGGGCCACGAGACAAAGTTGGAGTGTTTTGGGATTGTGCAAGATTTATGGGATGTCCAGGAGCAGGAGCAAAGTTTGCAAAGAAAAGGATAAATGTGGATCAGTAAGAAAATGTGTGAGTGCTAAAGATAACAAGATGGATTAGCTCTGGATTATTCCATAAGTCTGGGCTCCTCCTGGTGCTCCAGCCCCTTCCCCAGCTCCATTTGCCACCGTGTCTGTCCAAGGAGCCCCTCCAGGAGATGTGCTGCTCCAAGGTCCACCCAGGTTACAGGGCCAGAGAAGGAGAGCAGGATTCCAACAGCACAGCTCAGGCAGGGACTGGGGGCAAAGCTGAGCCAGGATGGGGCTCCTGGTGGTGGTGGTGAAGGCCAGTGAAGGTGGTCAGGGCCCTAACAGGGCATGTATGAGTTCTCAGAATTCACAATGTGTCACCACAGTGGGGATGGTATCCCAGCTCCTGCTGCCCTGATATCCCCCAGCAGGAATTCCCCATGGCACTCACTCTTCCTTCCCCTGCCCAGTCCCTGCAGGATACAGGGATCCCTCAGGTGAGGTAGGTGTGGGTTGTGCACTTGGAGGGAGGTTAAATGGTGAAGTTCCATGTCCTGCCCTCATTTTCAGACCCCTGGTGGGTGCCTGACTTTGTGGCTCGCTGATCTCTGCTGCTGGGCTTGTTTGAGGCACGTGGAAGTGCATCCCCACGTGTTTGTGGTGAAAGAACGCTATTATTAGAAAGGGGGGGGGGTGGGAAAGAGTGAAAAAAAAACCCCAAAAAACAACACTTGCCTGAACAGTTTGGGGCTTTTTGGTTTTTGGTTTTTTTTCTTTCCTTATCTCTTGATCTGCCTGAATAAATGATACTGGCTGATTTGGGATGCTGGTAGTAGCATCTGCTTGTCCCTTTTTTGGAGGCAGAGGGGAGGAAGTGGGCTAAAAATTGCAATATCAGCTCCTAACCTCGGGTCAGGTAAGTCAGCTGTGCTGCAATGGAAAGGGTGGCAATGCTCCAGCTTTGCTATAAAATGGAGAGCACAACTGGCCCTGAGACACAAGCAGGGTTGAAAGGGTCTCAGAGAAGGAGAATTCTCTTGTCCTGTCGCCCTAACACCCACCCAAAGCAGCAGGGAAGTTACCATGGCTTTCACCAGCTCTGCTGGGGTAAGTACTTACATTTTAAAATAAAGGATAAGATATATTTGCTGCAAGAGAGAAAGCAGAGTGCAGGTCCCCTGATTTGTGCAGAAAACCCTCCTAGCCCTGCTGGGAGCTGAATGGGATGCTGGTGTGTCTGATGCAGCTGCTTGGTGATTGAGTGATGAGGGTGTGGTGTTCTAGCCATTATTTGTTTATCTCTCCCTCAGCACTACCCATGTGGGATTGGCAGGGTCCTTTTTGCAAAGTTACCAAAATTTTCACTGTGGATACCTAGGCATTTGAATTTCAGCCTGGGTAGAATTTGCAGCACTGTCAGCTCCTTTGATTTTCTTAAAAGCCTTGCATTTATTTTGTCTTCTTTTTAGGAACTGGACTTCATGATCCTTGTGGTTTCCCTTTCAGTTTAGGATATTCTGTGATTCTATTATTTACTAAAACTCTTCCTACTGGAAATGGCCCAAGAATCTCAGATTTTTTGGGAAGAGGAGTATTTCTAGCAGATGGCTGTGGGTTTTTGTTTTGGGTTTATGGCTGTGGCCAGCTTTTACTGTCCTGAGAAAGCCGCGGCTGGGCAAGGTTTTAAGGGCAAGGAGTCAGCTGAGTCCTTACCCCAATTTATAGATGAAAAGATGGTGCTGTGTGACTGCAGAGTAGGATCTCCATAGCTTGTTGGACAGATGCTCTTCTTGGTGCAGAATCAGCCATGAACCAGAATTTAAATCAGAGTTTAGCATGAGTTATGATGGGTTTTATTAACATTATTTTGCTGCTTGCTCATCTTGGCCTGTTTCACACAAATGTTGAAGGTGGCCCAGTGGTGGTCCAGTCTAACCAAGGCTTGGGTCTTTGTGCTCTCTCTTTCCTGACAGGGCAGAACTAATTGCACTTTTCTCTCCCCCAGTTCAGATCACTGGTTTTGGTGCTGGTTTTAGCCCTCACCGTGAGGAGCTCACCCCCCAGAAAGGCTGGAGCCTCTGTGAGGCTGAGGGAAGGTTGCCTGAACCAAAAGGATCCCAAATTCCCTACAACAGTGAAAGTTGACATTCGGATCAGCAACTCAGATCGCGCCTTTGGGATGGTCCACGATGTCAGGAACCGCTCTCTGGCTCCTTGGGATTACAGGTAACCGTTCAGTTGTTCTCTAATTTGGGAGGACTGTGTCACAGACGGGTTTTTGTGGTGACTGTGGATCATTCTCAGCATATGTCCAAAGTCCCATGAATATTGCAAACGCTTCTTGACACACCCTGCCGTTTCGATGCTGGGTGAGATTTCTTTGAGAGGAGCTTTGCAGTGCAAGAGGATATCACTGGAATGGTTTCTAATCATCTTGTCAGTCTTTCTCAGTCACAGAACCATTGAGGTTGGAAAAGCCCTCTGAGATCACTGAGTCCAGCCATTCCCCCAGCACTGCCAAGGCCACCACTGACCCATGTCCCCAAGTGCCACATGCACATGGCTCTTAAAGCCCTCCAGGGATGGGGACTCCACCACTACCCTGGGCAGCTGTGCCATGCCTTAACAACCCTTTCAGGGAAGAAATTTTTCTTAATATCCAATCTAAACCTTCCCTGGAACAATTGGAGGTGATTTCCTCCTGTCCCTGTTCCCTGGGAGCAGATCCTGATCCCACCTGCCCGTCCCCTTCTGTCAGGGAGTTGTGCAGAGCCACAAGGGCCCCCCTGAGCCTCCTTTTCTCCAGGCTGAGCCCCTTTCCCAGCTCCCTCAGCCCCTCCTGGTGCTCCAGCCCCTTCCCCAGCTCCTCTGAGCAGCTTTCTGACCCCTCTGCCCCAAGCCTGTAGTGCTGCATGGGGTTGAAATAATGATGAAATTAATTATTCCTCTAGGAAAAGAATGATGTGAGTACACTGACATTTAACATTTTCCTAACAGGAAAAAACATCCAAATGCTGAAATTAAAACCAAACAAAAATTAATATAGGCCAGTTGTGAGTTTTGTGTTATTTAACCCAGCTCCACTCCATTCATCAGCTCCTAAAGAGTGATGCAGCAATATTACCATTTCTAGGAAATCATTGTGAAAACGTTGAGGGTAAGGAAATCCTTTGCATCTCACAGTGAGAGTGCACAGGTGAACAGGATGATGGAGATATAAACAAGAAGATCCTGCCAAACCACGATGTCCGAGTGCATAAATCAGTTTTGTGTCCCCATCCCCAGGCTGGACGAGGATCCCAACCGCTTCCCACGGGTGATTGCCGACGCCCAGTGCCGCCTGTCGGGCTGTGTGAGCCCCCTGGGGCAGGAGGACCACAGCCTCAACTCGGTGCCCATCAAGCAGGAGATCCTGGTGCTGCGGCGGGAGCAGCGCGGCTGCGTCCCCTCCTACCGCCTGGAGAAGAGGGTGATCACCGTGGGCTGCACCTGCGTCACTCCTGTCATCCAGCACCAGTCCTAGCAGCAGCCATCAGGGCAGGCAGCACTGGGGAGAGGAATTAATTCCCATAAAAAATCCCCCTGGTGAAATCCCTCAGCCGCCCGCCTCGCGTCCCAGGGGTTCCACATTGTTCCCCTCCCAAATCGCAGCAAACTGTCTCCTGAAGGTCATGGCTCTTGCTGCTGTTCATTTATGGATTTTAGGATGGGAATTATAAGTAGCTGGTGATGGAGGGGAGGAAGACTCCCCCAAGCAGTGAGAGGGGGAAGCAGTGCTTTTTAAAAATTTATTTTTCATTGTGGTTTATATCAGTTTGGTGAATCAAACGAATTATATTTTCCAAAGCTCTCCTTGGCAGCAAATTGCTCTAATTGAATACATGCCCACCAGCACTGCCACAAAAAATTCCTCATCCTGCACCTTCTCCCTCCCTTCCTCATCCCTATCCCATTTCCTCTGGCCATCCCTGCTCACTGGGATATTACTGGTGTCAGCCAGACATTGGTGCCACCAGGCCTGGTTGTCACCACAGTTTGAGTTTATGTCACTGCTGCAGTTGATTTATTGCAAAACATTTTGAGAGGTAATTGATTCCACTTGTTGAGTGCTAAAATGTTAAAGAACCAACAGATATCTGTAATTCTATTTATGTCTTCTATTTATGGCTGTATTTATGGCTCTGTGTGTGCTCAGAGCATAAAAAAAATTATAAAATTAATCTGTATTTATTCCATAACTTATCTGCTGAATAAAAATCATATTTTATTTAAAAAAAATGTTTTTTCATGGTATTTCAGAATGACAACAGATACAGAGAATGGGTTTGTGCTGCAGTAGCACTGAGAGATTTCAGCACAGATCAGGCATTTTCCTGTGAAGTGAGATGAGTAAGAGGCAGCAGAAGAGAACTTGCAGCCTAAACAGATGGAAAGATGCAAAGAGGCTGAAAGGAGTGAAGGGAGGTTCTGCAGGCAGTGGTGGCAATGGAATGAGGTTTTTTTAGACCTCTGGAATGGTCTCTAGGGATGGTGGGAAAAGAAACGGGAGGTGTCACATTCTGGGGCTGCAGCCAGCATTTGGGATGGTTCTTCAGAGCTGGGAAAGGTCTGTCCTTCCTTCTTACAGCCAAGCTTTCACCCCTAAAAACAACCTTCTCCTCCCCCAGCTGAATGGTTGGCTGAGCAGGAATGCAGGGAGGTGTCAGAAGGCTTCATGCCACTGCTCCTCAGCCAGGTCATTCACAGGTGCTGGGGTTAAAGTGCTGGACAAAGATCCCCCAAATCAAGGAACCAGGAATTGTACCTGCAGGGCGTGCTTTCCTGCTGAGCTGGGCTGTCCTGCCTCAGGAAATGAGGAATTGCCCTTTCCCTCCCTGAGCTGCACAAGGAGCACAGCCTGGCACAGCCCACTGTTCAGGAGTTCTGTGTCCCTGAGGATATTCCATGATTCCATAACCATCTACTATTTCCTCAAATTACTGCAATATTGCTTTTTTTGACATTGCTCCTCTTGCAGCCAGAGCTGAGCCAGGCTCTCAGACCTCTGACTTTTGTTTTTGCTGCAGGAGTTTTTAAGGTTGTATTTCCTTTTTCATTCAAATCAGGACAGACCTGTGCAAACATTCTCGTATTTCGTTTTGACTGCACAGAAACCACTTTAAGTTTGATCCCCCTGGTGCAGGTAGACCCTGGGTTTTCTCTGCAAGGTTGGCCAGGCAAGCTGTTGGATCTAAATGAACCAAGGCCAGGTTGGATGGCGCTTTGGGCCACCTGGGACAGTGGAAGGTGTCCCTGCCCATGGCAGGGGGTGGAATGAGATGCTCTTTGAGGTCCCTTCCAACCCAAAACATTCCATGATTCCGCATTGCTATGATTCTACGATTTTATGATGACTCCTCTGGTGCTTTTTGTTGAGTCAGGAGCGTTCCGTGCCCTGTGGGTCACTGGGAGCCACCTCAACAATCCCTGGGTGCCCTTTCCATTCAGCTAGGAGCATCTGCACCCCTTTGTGGCAGCAGCTGTTTCGTTATCACCGCTGAGCTCTTCATGTGGTGCAGAGCCAGCCCAGGGAGGCGTCTCCTGCTCGCCTCTCTCGGTAACCGCTGACCAGGAAATCGCAACCCACTTCTCACTCCTGACCTACTTCTCTCCACAGACCTGCCTTGTGGGGCTGCCCTCACTTGTTTTTCAGCGAGAAAACTACCCTGAAAACTACTACATCTCTCCTCTCAGTCATAATTACTTCGACACTGGGTTCATGGCATCATCCTGTGCTGATGCTCCTGAACACCCACTAGCTTACCCTAAGAGTGGTCCTAACTGGATGGATAATGAAGAAGCTAATTAGGCAAATACATAGATGGCTAATTAAGGAATTCTCACCCGTGGGCCATGAGGTTTGGCAGGCAGAGGTCTCAACTGCAAACCACACACCACTCAGGGAGGCATTGCTTGTACGTGGGGTTTGTTTCCTCCTAATGGCATCGTTCTTAGAGTGCAGCAGCTTCTAAATACAAGCCTGGTTATTTTTTGGGTGCTGGTTTCTGCTGCCAGCAATCTATCACTTTAGGGGCTGGAACCAGATGATCTTTAAGGTCCTTTCCAACATAAACCACCCTGTGATTCTATGAATCAGAGACCAAGACAAACAAATTTATGCTTCTTTTAAACATCACAGTCATATCAGAAATGAGAGCAAGTGCAATTCACAGCCTTTGCTAAAGGCTTTGCTTGGTTTGTTCCCTTTGCAGCTGTGGACCCAGAACCTGAGTGTCCAGCTGGGTATCTCTGGCTCTGAAAAGGGGCTTGGAGCAGCCTGCAGGGACAGGGTTGTTTTACCAGACAGGGAAGACACAGCTGGAGGTGCAGCAGCAGTGCCACGGTGCCTTCTTGTAACATGCTGGGCCAAGCCGCCTCCAGCCACAGGTTGGTATCTGAGCCTCGTGGCCTTTCCTACTCCTTTTCTCTTCTGATTTCCTCTCCCTAACCTCAGCCTTTGTTTTCTGCTCACTGCTCCCCTTGGCTGTGTGTTCTGGCAGCTCCCATGGGACGTTGGATAGAGCACAGAGCAGATCCCCCTGCATCACCACGGGCTGGGGGGCTCAGCAGTGACACCAGCACAGGCAGATGTCTCCTCCCAGGCCTGTGCTGTCACCTGTGAACGTGATGACCAGAAAGCATCTCAGGCCTCTTTGGACCCCAGACCACAGGCAGGTGCTCCTGGGAGTGTCCAAAGGGACTGCAGGCCACAGCAACCTCTTACACAAAAATCATTGCTTTGGGAAGTGTTATAAAATTAAATATGTAAAGAATGCAAAGGTTGAAAATGAAAAGGTTGAAAAAAATCCAAGAATTATCTGTTTGGTAAGCCAGAGGGCTAATGGCTGGAAAGTCAACATGGTTTATTGGGAGTTTGACATTACAGGAAAAATTTTAAGGCGATGAGCAATTTTCTGATCAGTCCTAAAGTTCTCAGTAAGAGCAATTCTCTGGTCAGTCCTGTGGGGATCTGTGGGTTGGTGCCAACATGATGGGTAGAGATGATAGGATGAGTTTCTATATCAGTTGCAGGTTCTGGAGATGGCCCAAGAAACCAGCCCAGAAACCTGCTCCCATGTCACCATCACCTCCAAAACAGGAGACCTTCCCTGACCTTCCCTGTGACAGTGGTGAGGCAGTGGCAGAGAAGTGTGGCTGTTCCATCCCTGGAAGTGTTCCAGGTCACACTGGACAGGGCTTGGAGCAGCCTGGGATGGTGGAAGGTGCCCTTGCCCATGGCAGGGGGTGGAACTGGATGATCTTTAATGTCTTTTCCAACCCAAACCGTTCTATAATACCACAATCTCCTTTTGTCTCCTTCTCCCTTTTCCTTCTTCGATATTATTTTTAACCTTCTGCTCAAGAAGGAGTGGGCTGATTCTGCATTTTCTACTGTTGCAAGGCAGTGACAAAAAAGTCCCAAACCTGCTTAAAATGTCTGTGATTTGTCTGGTACCACTTGTCAGAGCCAGAGCTGCTGGTGAGGATGGGAGGAGGCTCTCAGGAACTGAGAAGATGCCAGCCAGGCTCAGCACCAGACACAAACTACACTTTCTGCCTTTGCTGCTCACAAAGAGGAGTTCCAGGAGCTGGACTTCAGTGGTCCTTGTGAGTCCCTTCCAAATTAGGATATTCTAGGATTAAAAACATTTTTCATATTTTCTAATTATTCCCCACACTTCCAGGCCTGGCTAGTGGCAGCAGGTTCAGGTCCTCAGCTCTTCAGAAAAATCCCTTCTTGCTTTTGGTGCAACTGCTTATTTATCCTTCCTTCAGAAAAGTGGCTCAGCTTTTCTACTATTTTCTATAACTTCAACAAAATATTAAAAATATGTTTGATACTCTTTGGGGGTCATAGACTGACAAAATACTAAATTCCTGGGCACAGCTTTCTATGAGTGAGTAAAATCAGTACAAACCATCTTGTTTCTGTTTTATCTGCACTCTTAGTAAGCACAAATTTGTGTATCATGGTCGAGGTTCCCAGTTCTGGTAAATGGACAGAGATGATTTATCTCCTCTCTAACTTGACCCCATCATTTTTCGGGGTGGCTTTTTATTTTAGACTTCTGAAATTTGTGTTCTTGGCCTCGTTACAGCTGAATCTGCAGCACCTTTTACAAGCATCTGGTTTCTATCCAGATTGCTTTGATAAGTGGCAACGATGAGCGTGATTATCTGCAAAAAGCCAATCTCAAACTTCCCTTTCTGCTGGGTTTTACTCACAGGTTGATGATTTGCACAGGTTGCTCAGGTTTTGCAGACTGACATGAAACTGAGATGGGGACCAGTGCTGGACTGGAAACTTTTATGTTGGAGAGGGTTTTGCAGCAATTCCACCCCCCTCCCTCCAATGACTATATCATTTAAAAGCATCAAATTAGCAGAAATTTGCACTGAAACTCTTGAAAACAAGGAGAAACAACCTTTACCTGTAGAACCTCAAGCTGTGCATGGGTGAAAGAGGAGCTCTACTCTCTTTGGTCTCTCATTGTGATCATTATTGACTGCAGAAGAACAAGGACACTGATGAGGTCACCCTTGCCAGGATGCATTGGTTTGGGATTATTCTGCACCTTTCCAACTGAACACAGCAAGGAAGGAAATCAGTGAAAGAAAATCTCTTGGCTCATGGTGCCAGGAGTTAGGAGAGAACTTGAAGTAGGAAAGAAAACAGTCCTCTGGCCCTATGAATCCAGCTTATTAATTAACCTATTAAATACTTCTGCAGGGGCAGGTAGAACACTCAAGCAGCCTGTAGCTGTGAGTTGTCCAAATAAATAAAAAGTGGTTCTGTCCTAAGGCTCAGATTTAGCTGGGTTGGTAAATGGTTCAGCAAAAATCATGCTGGTGAAAGGGAGACCGGTGTATCTTCACTAAGGCCAGGCTGGATGGGGCTTGGAGCAACCTGGAGTAGTGGAAGGTGTCCCTGCCCATGGCAGGGGGGGGTTGGAACTAAATTACCTTTAAGGTCCTTCCAACCCAAAGCATTCCATGATGATGATGCTGATCTGTGAAGTCTGTCAGCAGAAAGCTGTTGGCTTTCCAATGCTCCAGCTGTGTCATCTCTTTCTGACCTGGTTCTGAGTTTTTCCACCTCAGCATAGCTCTCTCAGCATTTTCCAGTCCCCACTACACATGTGCCAACCCCAGCTAGTGGTGCACGACTTCCAGAGAATAAAGGGTTGGACTTTCTGTGATTTTAACTGTTAGAAGTTACTTGGGTTAATTGCAGGCAATTTGACAAAACTCATCCTAGGAGTGGTAGGATATTAAGAGATTGTCTAAACAACAAGGAAGTCAGCCCTGTTTCAATCTCCCTGGAGTGATATTTACATGAATCTTTGAAAACCTTGAAGGATGAGTGTTCCTTGATGTTTTTTGGTTTAGATTTTTTTTTTGGCTTTTTATTTTATTTTTTTTTTAATCCATTCATGTTTAATACCTGTGGGACAGAGAGCTGGGTTAAACTTCAGGACCTGCAGGAGACATTAAGGAAGAATAACTGGGGTTAGTCTTCCTTAGAGAGATAAGGTCAGAAAGTGCTAAGTTAGGACCATACACACTTCTAGATTGCTATTAGGCAAAGTTAGATCAATGTTTGAAGGTAACTAAAGGTGTGGCCAGGAATTCATTGTTGTGATTGCAGGCACTGTGGTCATCAGTGAGTTCATCAATGTTTCCTTGGTCCAGTGTTTATCTGCCAGGTCAGGCAATGGTGTGGCTGTGCTGTGGGTTTAGGTTACAGGCTGACCCACCTGGAGCAGGTTAGGGTTAGGGTTAGGGAGGGTTTGGGCTCACTGGAACAGCTGGAGGGAATAATCCCCAGTAGCAAAAATTGGGATGATCACAGCTGGATTTGGAGAAGATGCTTTCACCTGAGAGCACCTTCCCTCTCGTTAGAGACTCTCAGCCCTGAGCTCTGTGTCTCTCCAAGCTCTGTATCTGCTGTTGCATTTGCCAGTGGCACCTTGCCAGTGCCTCAGCAGGGCCACACCTCCTGAGACAGCAGCAAACAAAGCATCCACATCTTCAGCAGCCAGCCTTGCCCTCTGAAACATGGAACATGTTCCCTGGAGCACTTTTAACCCGAGTGTGCTTTAAACAAACCCAACTGCTGCTCCAGACACCCACCCACGCAAGCCCCATCCAACCACAACTCAAGTGCTGCATCAGGGTGCTCCACATCTCAGGTGCTGAATTGGAAGGGCATGGGCACAGAGAAAATCACAACTGCAACCAGCCAGATGTGCTAAATTGCTTCAATCACCCACCTGACTCTCGTGAGCTTCCCCGGAGTGCCCAGGTGGTGTCTTCAGCTCTGGGCTGAAATGAGTTGGGCTGAGATTCACAGATAATGTTGGAGTGAAGTTAAAACTCAGCAGTGAAAATGCACTCACTGTTTTAGGAGAGGGAGTTTCTTTACTCCCAAAGAAGTATTTAAAGCATTGTGTTGAACCCATCTTTTTCAAATCCTTTTCCAATCTGATAATTAAGTGGAAAACTGGGTAATTACCCAGTATAATTTTTTTTTGCTTGTCTGTTTTTAATGTGAGTCTCTTTGATGCCTACTTTATAAATAATTTTCCTCCAGGTATCTTAACTTCTCTATTGGTAAAATGGTGTTTTTCCCCATTTTTTTTTTTTTCCATGGGCTTTACATTCTACTGCTGCCCAGGTAGATGTTATCAAGAGAATTTGGGGCTTTAGCATCATGTAAGTCTCTGTTATGGTCATGATTGAGTGATTTCTTGCCTTAGCAGGAACACTTCTTTAGAAAGAAAGAAGAATACCAAAGAATTTTTTCTCTGACTTTTTTATTACACAAAGATAAATAAACATTACCTTAATACTTAAAAAAATATATATATTAGGATTATACATTATTATCATGTTTTCCACCAGCATAAATAGATTTACATAAATAGACATTTCAAAGTGTAAACTAAGGATGGGTAAAATTCCCATTACTTTTCAGCCAGGCACATGCAGCTGTCTGGATTCTGAATTTCTGGAGTTCAAGATTTTGGGGGAAAACATTAAGGTTTTTAACCTAGACACCCGATTTTCAGTATATTCTGAAATACATATTCTGATGTATTCTTGATGAATTTTATGGCCTGATTCAGCTTTTTTGGAGGCTGGATCAGGCCCCTTCCATGCAAGGAAGTTCTCTGTGGCTCCTTGCTCTTGCAGCTCCGGCTCCCTTCAGGCCTGGTGCTGGACCAAGGGGGTGACACACGTGCAGCCCACTGTGATGGTTTTCTTCTCCAGCCTGTAGGATTGCTGGCAGCCCCTCTGCTCCCTGCGCAGGACCAGGATCTCCTGCCTGATGGGGACGGAGTTGAGGCTGTGGTCCAGCTGCCCCTCGGGGTTCACGCACCGGGAGTGGCGGCACTCGGCGTCCGCAATCAGCCGCGGGAAGCGGTCGTGGTCCTCGTCAATCCTGGGGGTTGGCAGGGAAGGGAGTGTTTGAATCCTCAGGCATGATGGTCTGGAAGACTATGGGCTCCCTGCTTGGGAACCTGTGCATCTTGGGGTGTATTGCCCATGGAGGGGCAGCAGATTTCCCAAAAGAGTAGATTTTTCCGAAATAAAATGTAATTCACTAAATATTGGATATTTTTAAATGGATGCCTGCATGCAACTGCCTTTGCAAAGGACTTGCTTCAAGCAGGCACTGACTTCGATCAGAAATGATATGAGCTCCCCAACATGTTGCTCCAACTAACAGACCCCAAAACCTTCAGTTCCTCCCCAAAACATGA